AATTATCTAAATGGATGACAGAGCAGAAATCTCCTTGGGCGAGAACAAATTGGCTTCACAGCGAATCAGTCCACTCTTGACCACTGCACCACTCTAGCCTTTCTAGCTGAAAAGTATTCTCGTTATCTGCGTGGTAAGCTTTACGCAGCTTTTGTGGACCTCTGTAAAGCTTTTGACTCTGTCAATAGATCTTTATTGTGGGATAAACTTCTTAAATTGGGGAAAGACAAGCGTCTTCTATTTTTGATCCGGAAGCTGCATACGTCCAATTTCTGTCAAGTGAGATTTGACGGGAAAGGTTCCCTTACTAAGGAAATAAGTGTCTCCAAAGGGGTTAAACAAGGGTGCGTCCTTGCCCCTTCACTTTTTAACCTTTTTATTTCTGATTTAGCATCCTCTCTGGATAGGGTTAATGGTCACCCACCTAAATTAAACATGACTGCAGTCCTGGTCTTGCTGTATGCGGACGATGCGGTTATCCTCTCCTTTACAAGGATTGGTCTTACACGTTTTATATCCGAGTTTAATGCCTATTGTTCCCGGAATCACCTCTCTATTAATTTTGACAAGACAAAAATAGTGGTTTTCTCTAAATCATGGAAATGCAACCGTTGGTCAATAGCTGGAAGAGAAATACAACAGGTAAAATCCTTTCGGTATTTAGGAGTGCTATTTTGTTACAATCTAAGTTGGTGCTCGCATAGAGAACACTCCCTGACTATGGCCAAGAACAAGACTGCAGCCCTGATCCGGTTTTTCTTCCAAAAGGGCAATCAATTTGTTCCAGCTGCGCTTAAGATGTTCCAAGCAACTGTCATATCTCGTCTGTTATATGGGGTTTCTATTTGGATCCAGTCCTTTACTAGGAGAGTCGAGAGCATCTATTCCACTTTTCTGCGCAGGGTTCTTGGTGTTTCCAACTCAGTGTCGCTCTTTGCTCTTTATAAGGAGCTGGGTCTTCACTTGGTGGAATCTCGAGCTTGGATCATTACGATCAAATATTGGCTTCGGCTTCATTTTTGATCTCCCCCTACTAGCCAAATGGTCCAACTTCTAGCTGACTCCTATACATCAGAGTGGTCACAGGCCGTAGTGAAAAAAGTGGGTACACGAGGTATCGACCTGGAACCCCTCTATAACTGTGGTGAGGCAGCAATCTTACAGGTGGTTAGGAGGAGAATTTGGGATATAGAGGCGCAGACCATTAATGCCGGTAGTCTTGGAGTTTGTTCTCCCTATTCATTACCCCTCCTTCCCTTGCATACCTCCATGCTACCGTATATCGCTAATCTGATAACCCCAGTTTTTAGGAGGGTTTTTATGCTTGCAAGGTTCAACCTTTTCCCTTCAGTAGTGGTCTCAGGTAGATACAAGGGTGTCCCATATAGGGACAGACTTTGTAACTGTAATCTTGGGGAACCAGACTCTGTCACCCATATCCTTCCTCACTGTCCCAAATACTCCGTTATGCGCAATATCTTGATTCGCCCTTTTCTCCCTTTGCAGAGAGATTTTCTGGACAGGGATTTAATTTTTTTTCTAGCAGACAAGAGCCCAGCAATAATACTATCTGTCGCTGAATTTTTGACCTACGTATGGAAATCAAGAGTAATACTCTGTAATTCTTATAAATCATGTTAGGATTGTCTTGTATTTTGGAATATCAGGAATATTGGTTGATGTTGTTCTTGTACTACCCCTTAAACGTCTCCTTGCCTGGTTTACTTATGTTATGCCAATAAAGGTTTCTGCTCTGCACAAAGAGACAGATCAAGGTTCCCCCTCTCTGCTTCCTTTTTTTTAATGTAAGAATACATTCAGGCCATAGCAAGAGCTACTCTTGTCTCCTTTTTCTATAGCTGTCTGATATCTTAAATAGAGAGCTTATCACCTTGTTCCTGATCTCAGCTTAATGATGTGAACTAGCTTGACCATCAAAACATCCTCTTGTTAAATGCAGGGATTGAATCCAGTGGTATAAAAATAATCTCTGAAGAGAGACTGCTGCTCAATGCACTCAGTCTAATAAGCAGGTGTTTTGTAGTAAGGGAGTGCTTGCTCAGAGGGCTGCTAAAGCTTTCTGAGCCACCAAAAAGGGCCTTATTCGACTCCTTGCGGAACCCCCCAACAAGGGGCCATTTGATGCATGAATCCAAGAGGTGAAATCTTGCCAGCTTCTCAGCCTGAGCACACAACAGCAGACCCTATCTGATCTCCTCCTTTCCAATGACTCAGAAGCAATTTGTGGAAAGTGAACGACAGGGACTCCAATCAATTATACCACCCAGAATGGCGACCTAATTATTCCCGAGCTGGCCAAGCCGGAGCCCCGGGGGGAGAGCCCCGGGGCCCCCCAGGAGCCGGAGGCCGCCCCCGTCGGGCGCGTCTGCTCATTCTGCAAACACAACGGCGAATCGCGAAGCATCTACGCCTCGCACAACCTCAAGGACCGCGAGGGGCGCGTCCAGTGCCCCATCCTCAGGCAGTACACCTGCCCCCAGTGTGGGGCGAGCAGCGACCGGGCCCATACCAGGTGCTTCTGCCCCCTGACCAGGCAGGGCTACACCTGTAGGGCTGTGCTCCTGCAGAGTGCAGGGGGTTGGACTAGATGTCCTGCATGTCCCTTCCAACTCTAACATTCTATGATTCTATGATTATTAGTAAAAGGGCTGAAAACAAAATGGTGGATATTATAGTGCCCCGGAATAGAGATTCTTTTGAACTATGGTGCTGGAGAAGACTCTTGAGAGTCCCTTGGACTGCAAGAAGATCAAATCAGTCAATCCTAAAAGAAATCAACCCTGACTGTTCCCTGGAAGGCCAGATAATGAAACTGAAGCTCAAATACTTTGGCCACCCAATGAGAAGGGAGCACTCACTGGAGAAGACCCTGATGCTGGGAAAGATTGAAGGTCAAAGAAGACGGGGACGGCAAAGGATGAGATGGTTAGACAGTGTCATCGATGCAACGAACATGAAATTGAGCCAACTTCAGAGGACGGTGGGAGACAGGAAGGCCCGGCGTGATCTGGTCCATGGGGTCGCGAAGAGTCGGACTCGACTGTGCGACTGAACAACAAACATTTGGAATACTGTGTGCAGTTCTGGTCTTCTCATCTGAAAAAGGATGTCACAGAGCTGGGGAAAGTCCAGAAGACATTAGGGGGTTGGAGCCCCTTCCCTATGAGGAAAGGCTGAAGAGTCTGGGACTTTTGAGTTTTGAAAAGAGATGACTAAGGAGGGACATGACAGAGCTTTCTAAAATTACGCACGGGGTAGAGAGAGCTGACAAAGAGAAATTTTTCCCCTCCCAAAAGACTAGAACTCGAAGGCATCCAATGAAGCTGATGGGCAGGAGGTTCAGGACAGGCAAAAGGGAATACCACTTTACACAGAGAAGGATTAAAATTTGGAATTCACTGCCAGAGGATGTAGTGATGGCCACGGGTGTAGAGAGCTTTAAACAGGGATTTGATTGATCTATGGAGGAGAGGTCTATGAGTGGCTACTAGCTATGGTGACTAAAGGGAACCACCATGTTCAGAGGCAACCAGCTTTTGAATCCCAGTGCCAGGAGGCAACATCAGGGGAAGGCCTCGGCCTCTATGCCCTGCTGTTGTCCCTCCAGAAGAACTGTTTGTCCACAGTTAGAGACAGAATGCTGGACTAGGCAGGGCTCCTCTTATGTTTTTAACACCAACCACAAAACCTCAGTTTTCTGGGCAGCCTTGTTTTGGATGTCACGATAAACCAATGTTCAATGAACCTGTGATTTCTAAATCGTGGCTTAGCCTAAATGTACCCTGTCTGTTTCTATATATCTCACTTGCTTTCGAGATGCTAACCTCAAGCCAGCCCTCATGATAAACTATGATGCCTTCTAAGCATGGAGAGCCAGTTTGGTGCCATGGTTAGGAGCGCGGACTCTAATGTGGGAGAACCAAGTTTGATTCCCCACGCCTCCACTTGCAGCTGCTGGTGTGACATTGGGTCAGTCACAAGTTCTCTCAGAGCTGTTCTTTCAAGGGCAGTTCTCGAAAGAGCTCTCTCAGTCCCACCTACCTCACAGGGTGTCTGTTGTGGGGAGGGGAAGGGGAAA